TGTCCCTCATTTTCTAGCGTATTGTTTCAAATTCGTATGGTATGACTCGTTAGATCTGTGCTTCTTTGTGTTTGTTCGGGGTTCAGTTCTGGAAACTGGAATCCCATTGGGATTGGGCATCGAGCTGGCCCTGAGATCTGAGGTCTCAAGGCGTATCTGTCCAAATATTTGTTGGGCCAGTCATAAGCCCAAAACGCTGAGGGCATTTCCTACTGGTCCGGTCTTTTACTAGTGCTGAGGCCCAAATGTTAAGTAATTCACATTAACAGGGATGACACAATTCTCTTTTTGTGGGTTGGCCTCGAAGCCCATTGTGCTAACGGCTGTTCCTGGGCTGATTCCGATAATGTTCATTTAGTGACGGTAATTAACTAAGGCTCTTTAGAGACAAACCCAATAGAAAATTATAGTTTGCTCTAGGATGGCCTTTAAATAATAAGATGTGATGAGCCTCGCCAAAAAAAATGCATAAATTGTGGGGCCCTCGTTAAATACTTATATTAAAATACTTAGAATTCGGGGCGTGCCGTTTAGCGAATTTCACGGCCCTCCGCAAAGATAATAACCCGTTAGTCGCTCTTAGGTCGGGCATTTAATAATATTACTTTCTTAAACTCGGGTGCACATTTATGTGACCCAAATCCAAATCCCAACGAAGTTGAAACGTGTCAAAAACCACGGGTGCATTTATGTGACGTGGTTCGAGACGTGTTTTCACGACGTTGCAATTCTTTTTAAGAAATAATAATAATAAAAGCGGTTCAAAGTTCAAAAGCACATAGGTTAAAACATGTTCTAAAGTCAAATAAATAAGCCAAATATGACAGTTAAGCGACCGTGCTAGAACCACGGAACCCGGGAATGCCTAACTCCTTCTCCCGGGTTAATAGAATTCTTTATTCAGATATCTGGTTCGCGGACTGCTAAACAGAGTCAATTTTTCCTCGATTCGGGATTAAACCGGTGACTTGGGACACCATAAATCTCCCAAGTGGCGGCTCTGATTCTTAATAAAATGAATCCCGTTTCGATTGTCCTTTAATTGGAAAAACTCCCTTTATTATACCCTTCACGGGGTGTAGTAGCAAAAAAGGAGGTGTGACAGTCATTACGACGGTCTTTCCTCGACTCCATTTAGATCGACGTTAACTATTGGGTCGGACCGTTAAGGTCATCCTCATCTGCTCTCACCTCGCGTAGTAGGCGTTGTGAATTTCTTCCCAAGAGGTGGGCGGATATTTCATGAGCCTGCTTAGTAACTTTCTGGATCTAGCAAACAAAGAATGAGTAATGTATGTTGGGCCAAGTAGTCAGTGAACGAGACAATGTTTGTATATTCTTCTTAGTCAACTCTTTACAAGTGTTCTTACCAAGAAAAGTTAAGATNACCAAGAAAAGTGAAGATCCCCCCCTTTGTTCTTTATCTCATCCTATTTATAAGGGATAACTCTAAGTAACCCTAGAAAGTACAACATAAGGAATATCCAATGAAATATTCCCGATGTCTATTGTTAAGCTATCCTACCCCGGCTTCCTTGCTTCATTTACTTAACCTCGTCAATAGTCCTTCTTGAGATGAAATTTTCGACATTTGATTTAAATGAAAAATGAATGTCGGTAAGTGTTTTTGTAACACTTATGTGACTTATGCCGACATTTATAAAATATCATCATATGTGATATTTCTTGTAGTGTGTGTAGTGGTCGACTTTGTCCTCGACCCTATTTGTCTGCACTTACCAAGACGTCCAAATTTAGACCCATAGAAGGGGGATTGGGAGGGGGGGGGGGGGGGTTGAAACAATACTTGAGGCAGTGAGTATCGATAGAAGAGTTTTGTTCTAAAAAAAGAGTATTTTTAGGATAAAATAGTAAAAATCTTGGTCAAACTTAAAGTGCCTATAAGCTAAAAATTCATAAGCTGGGGGTTACCAGCTTATGGCTTTTGGCTTATTTTTGACTTATAAGCACTTGGCTTATAAGCACTTTTAACTTTACTAAACGCGTAGAAAAGCCGAAAAGTGCTTATAAACTAGTTTGACCAGCTTATAAGCTTAGCCAAACACCCTCTATTTATGGTATATACCACGATTGAGGCATGAAATACGCTATTTACGTTTTTCCTCTCTCTTAGACAGCTGGATATACCTATTTTTAAGGTGATTGTTGTTACTGTATTCATGAATACATGGCGCGAATACATGTGAATACAAGTGAATACATGCGCGTACAGCTGGACTGCCCTGATTTTAGGCATTTTTTTACTGTTGTATTCATGAATACAGCAGTGCGAATACATGTGAATACATGCGTACAGCTGGGCTGCCCTGATTTTAGGCATTTTTTACTGTTGTATTCATGAATACAGCAGTGCGAATACATGTGAATACATGCGCGTACAACTGGACTGCCCTAATTTTAGGCGTTTTTTGTTGTTGTATTCATGAATACATGGCGCAAATACATGTGAATACATGCGTGTACAGCTAGACTGCCCTGATTTTAGGCGCTTTTTGCTGTTGTATTCATGAATACATGGCGCGAATACATGTGAATACATGCGCCTACAGCTGGACTGCCCTGATTTTTAGGCGCTTTTTGCTGCTGTATTCAATTGAATACAGCAGCGCGAATACAACGAATACACTACCGTAACAACTGAATAGTAGCTATACGAAGTAATTATGCATATGATAGCTATAGGAAGTTAATAGCCACTAAATAATAATGATTTCCGAAAATTCCTAAAAAGAAAACATGCAGAAGCTATTAGGTACAAGGCATATATATATATCTTAAATTCCTCCACTCATAAACCCTTTAAATCGTGCGTAAAATCGTACTTATTGTTTCTCTGACTTTGTATTAAAAAATTAAATTATTTTGTCAACTTTAAATTAAGACATTCTACTCCTTGTTATCTCATCATTAGTTGAATATGATTTAAAGGTAAAATCAATTTTTAGTTTTACATTATCAAAGTATGTTTCATATTACTCTACTGATAAAATTCGCCCCTTTTCCTACCTACATAAAATATACACGTAAAGATACAACTGAACACATTACACAAGATTGTTTTGGGTAATTAGTAATTCAGTATAAAGTTTAATAGGTGAAAATATTTGGATTTATTTTAAGAAGAAAATTTAATGAAAACCCGTCTTTTTAACATGTATTATTTAATTTTTAATCCTAATTACGCTAGAGGTATGAATGAAATTTAAAAATGTTTCGTTCACGGTAGAGACCATAGTTACTCATGCAGCAATATTAAAATGGCGAGTGTTATAGTACCAAATTAGAACAATGCAATAATCTTGAGGACTTTTTTCACTTTTAGCCCGCGCCAAAAATTATTTACATTTCGTAGTTGAAAAAGTGTATAAAATTTATATAATTTTTGTATATAACATACAGAATGTGTGTGTGAATATACAAAAAAATATACATTTTTTCGGCAATTATTTTGAGAGCGACTATACAGTAATAATTATATCTGTCGGTGGCAATTTGAGCCCAAACCCATTTAATCCGCCCAACACGCCCAAGGTTGGACTGATCATTGACCCGTCCATTTGTTGAACTCAGTCCATCTTGACCAAACCCATTTCGGCTCATTTAAAGTTGAGCTGATTTTTAGTCCAAATTGATCCATGAGTAACTTTAAAATATCTAAAAATAACTTTTTTTAAGTTTGATATGTTATATATGACGATAACAAAAAAAAGTGTTATTTGATAATTAAACAATTCATAAGAAAATAATATATATTAATTAAATCTTGATAAGAGTTGGGCGGGTGGGATATGACCCAAATTTTAGCTTAACTTGACTCAACACATCACAGCCCAAATTACTTTTGGACGGGTCATTGGTCCGCCCATTTGGTGACTCGGCCTATTTTGACCCGTCCAAAATCAGTCCGTCCCACCATTTGACACCCCTAGTTACGTCCTTTTCTCTGAATTCCGTTAACATAATCTTGATTTAAAAGTTATCCTTGTTTTAATTGAAGCCAGCGGTCAAGTTACTAGACCTGGGGTGGCGAGAGGTTTGGCTAAGACCCCTACGATATACTTATATTGATAGACAAACACAAGTACAAATACTTAAGAGCTGGGCGTAGACTAACCTCCACAAAATTAAAAGGCCTATGCTGAGATCAGTACTTATGGTAACTTCTAAACCCAAGATTCTAATCCCCACTGCTACGGTATGGCACCTTATACAATTTTTGTTTTTCACCTCCAAAATATCTTTACTACACTACACAGCACTAAATTGGGAGCAAAACTTACAAAATGTACACTAATATAACTAACCACTGTACAACTGTGTCTGAGAGTTGGCATATGAATTTATCTAGCATGTATGGTCCTAAAGCATCTTTAGGCAATTCACGTGAGCTACACTAATGCCCACCCTAGAAATCTCTTTGGAAGTATCATTCTTCAAGTAAGCATTTCCTCTATTCATTTTTCAAATATATTTTTTTTGTTCTACAGATGTAAATTTTATTACAGTTAGCTGGACTTTATGTATCCAAACATTAGTCAATTGTGGAGTTCAAAGAATTTCTTTTTTGCGTATATTTTATAAAATCTGCTATCGTTTCGCACCAGTAAAAAAATGTCGTTAGCTTAATTCTTATGATGAATAATTAAAACTTTCTTCCCACACACATAGAGGTATAATTTGGTGCAAGGTGTTTCATTTTATTAGTTTAATGTAAACATTGTATGTTAAGCAATAGGGTAGGCTGTGTACATAATACAACAGTCCTTTCCCAGACCCTGCATGAACGCGAGATGCTTCGTGTACTGGGCTGCCTTTAGTATGTCAAGCAAATGGAAACTTGATATGTAAATATGTATAGATGACAAAATTGACTTTTCAATACTGTTATAGGAAATAATAAAGGGCAAATTACTACAGTAGGAGGCGGTACCTAGAGTGGACAAGGACAACTCTGCTTTTTGACTCTTTAAATCTCTGGACCTTGATCTGCTTGGGAACTCATCATACAATCTTAATTTCTTATTTTACTAATTCTCTTCTCTTGATCTACAACAGCAATGGCAGAAAATGCTGGAGAAGTATGCCAGTCAAACCTGCCCAATTTTCTTCTCTCCATTAGACTCAAATATGTAAAACTTGGATACCATTACCTAATATCAAATGCAGTTTATCTCCTCATCGTTCCAATTCTTGCTGTTGTCGGATTTCATCTTTCAACCTTTACTCTTGAAAACCTAATGAACCATCTTGCCGTGTTGAAATCTTGTTCAACTCTTGTTGTTTTCTTAACGACAGTTTACATCATGAGTCGTCCAAGAAATGTTTACTTAGTCGATTTTGCATGTTATAAGCCACCTCAATGTTTTATGACATGTAAACAAGGTTTCATAGAAAAAATGTCCGACATTTTGGACGAAGAAAGTTTAAATTTTCTAAAGAAAATCTCGAAGAGGTCAGGTTTAGGTGAAAAGACTTACGTTCCAGCCGAGTCAAAGATCCCATCAAGTGTTCCAATGAGTACTAATCAAAATGAAGCGAAAATGGTTATCATTGGTGCCATAGACGATCTATTGGCGAAAACCGGGGTCAAGGTTCGAGAGATTGGGATTGTTATCGTCAATTCTAGTGCGTTTAATCCAACACCATCTCTTTCTGCAATGATTGTCAACCATTATAAGCTTGGCGTCAATGTGATTACCTATAACCTCGGCGGCATGGGCTGCAGTGCTGGACTCATTTCTGTAGACCTAGCTAACCGGCTTTTACAGGTTCGTATATCTTCGTATCATTCTAAATTTTCAGGTTGAGACACTATCGAATTAAATAATTAAAAATATTTTCTCTTTAACTATTTAAGTTCTTAAATTAGACGGTTATACACTTCAATATGGTGCCAAAGCAGGCAAGAGGTCTCGAGTTCAAGTCTCGATGTCATCCATAAAGCTAAAAGTATTGAGATATAATATGATTAATTAAAAGTGTGATCTCTTTAACAAAAGCGGTTAGATAATGTCACACAATGCAGAAAAGCTCTTATGAAGTTCCAATAAGATTTAAAAACTAAAAGGTGTATGTTATGCTTTTCCCACTCTTGGTGATCAAAATTGCTGATGTGTTAAATAATTGAACAGGGGCAAGCCAACTCTTATGCACTTATAGCAACTACGGAAATAATTTCAGCGGGCTTCTATTCGGGGAAGCTGAAATCAAAGCTTTTATCAAATTGCCTTTTCCGGATGGGTGCATCTACTGCTCTTCTGTCAAATCGTTCCTACGATCGTAGACGCTCAAAATATCAACTGATGCACGTCGTCCGCACCCATAAAGGTGCGGATGACAGAGCATTCAATTGTGCCTACCTAGATGAAGATGAGGATGGAAAGAAAGGCATATCATTGTCAAAAGACTTAATGGCAGTTGTTGGTGAGGCCTTAAAAACCAATATCACAACTCTTGGCCCTCTAGTCCTCCCCATGTCCGAGCAACTCCTCTTTTTAGCTTCCTTAATCGCGAGAAAAGTCTTTAAAAGGAAAATAAAACCATATATCCCCGATTTCAAGATGGCGTTTGAGCATTTCTGCATTCACGCAGGGGGGAGAGCAGTGTTGGACGAACTTGAGAAGAATCTTGATCTCCCAGAAGTACTTATGGAGCCATCAAGAATGACTCTTTATAGGTTTGGAAATACTTCAAGTAGCTCAGTGTGGTACAATTTGGCCTACTCCGAAGCCAAAGGGAGGATAAAGAAGGGTGACAGAGCATGGCAAATAGGTTTCGGATCTGGCTTTAAGTGTAACAGTGTTGTTTGGCGTGCGCTAAGGACTGTCGATGCAGCCAAGGAAAAGAACGCTTGGACGTATGAGATAGAGGATTTCCCTGTTCGTGTAACCTATTGATGCTTTTATATATCTTGTTTAAATACTAGGTATATCCTAAACAGTAAATAATGGTCTGTAACTGAAACTATAAACTCAGTCAAAATCACTCTAGTATATCTGTATACAGATTGTGGACCTAATGTTTGTACAAGTACGTATCAAAAATTACAAAATTGTAAGTCCGATCGGGCACCAGTAAAAATTAGATCATGACGCAGTATAATAAATTCAAAAATATGTTTGTTAATCATAATATACTTAATAATAAGATATGTAATGTATTGTTTGGTTGCACAAGAACTACGGTAATTACTTAGTTGGATAGATCTTTTATATAAAAATGAATATTAATTACCAAAAGAATAAGAAAAATATAGTATCATTCATATGAACGAGTAAATAAGAGAACTCTCATTAACTGAAAATATTTTTGACTAGAGAGATGTGAGAACTTCTCTCTCTAAACACTATGTTTTTTCTCCCAAACGCTTCCTACATCAATTCCAACTCTACTCCAACACTAACTCCAACCTACCTCTAACATTTAGACTTTAATGCACCGTTTTATCCAATGAATGAATTTGTTCAACATCCTGATCCACACACCTACCCTGATGAACCACCTGACATTGATACCATGCAAGTAGACGATCATTCCCCATATGCACCACCTACAACCTTCCTCCAGACCCTGATCTCCAATATATCCCTCTCACCCACTCACAATACTCAACAGCCACACTACACTTGATCTTTCTGATGGAAGTATTAATAGTGATAAGGATGAGGACATTTTCATACCAATAACTTCAAATGACAATTCTCGCCTCTACTCTCCCTGAAAATACTCAGTAATTATAAAAGTTCTTGGCAGTCCAGATACTCAAAAATAAGCTCGTATCTTTGTGGAAGCCAACTGAAGAGCTTCCCCTCATTGACCTAGGTTCTGACTTCTTCCTCATCAAATTCCAAAAAGAAGACAGCATGCATAAAGCTCTCCACGAAGGCCTGTGGTTTGTCCTAAATCACTTTCTCTCTATGCGCAAGTGGGAGCCTAAGTTCATAGCTTCCAATACACAACTCACATACTCAGCTATATGGGTTCGTCTGCCTGAACTTCCTACTGAATTATACGATTTAGAAATATTACAAAGGGTCGGCTTTAAATTGGGACAACTGTTAAATGTAGATACCTGCACCTCGTCTACTACCAGGGGAAGGTACACGTGTATTTATATTAAGGTCCCATTAGAACAATCATTGAAAACTCATATACATATAGGCCACCACAAACAAACATTACTCTATGAAGGCCTTAATTTACTTTGCACAAAATGTGGCCGTTTTGGCCATGCTAACTGGAACTGCTACTTTGTTACCCCCCCCCCCCACTTTCTAATCTTCATAACAAATCCCTGCCCACCTCCTCTACAACGACCACAACTCAACCTCTACATGAACCGGAATGGAAAACTGTCACCTTTCCAAGGAAAACAAATTCACGCACCACCAACCGTGCCACAAGCAACACCAAGTCGGCGATAGCGGCGGCACACACCATACAGCAAGCTCCTTCAGGTAAGTCTCCTAACCCTACTGGGCCATCAATGGGCCACGTATCATTATTTAATTCACCTTCACTAGCGAGGCCGATGCCGAGCTTGTTAACAAATTCACTGTTATATCCGAAATGGATTCTAACATGGACATAGACAACCTTGTCTCCATGAGCCCAAATCTGCCTTGCCCAATGAATAAGCCCATAAGCCACATGGATGCACTCACTCCACAGGGCCCTTCACCCCACATGCAAAAAGAGCAGCTCCAAGGCCTAGACCCACAGACCATATTCACCAATGAAAGGGCTAGTTGCCCAACCTCTGCATACAACTATTTAGCTCCTCACAGCCTACTCTACAGCAATAGCCTAGACACGCCACTAAGTCCCATAAAGCCACATCAGAACTCATCTCCACAAAGCAGTCCAGTCACCTATAACGGCCAACCCTCAATAGACAACAAAAAATCCAACATACACAATTCCTCTCATCCAACGATCCAGTCAGCACTAGTAACAGTATTTTGCATGCTACAGTACCCTACATCCCTCAAGGCTCTAGTCCATCTCCCCTCCCATTGCAACACAATCATTACCCACCATGTGAAAATTATCATGAAAATCCTCACCCTTCCTTTTCTCCTCTACAAAGTCTTCCTCCTACCCTCAAACCAAAGACTCCAACACCGATCACTACTACTCCCACTTCATCAGAGACGATCATCTAAAACCATCACTACTACTACTAACAAAACCTCCACCACTTCTAACCATGTAACGTCCAACATTTTCAGGCAACCACCACACCACACACCTCAGGGACAACATTCACAACAGTAATCAATTCTTCCATCTTCCACGACTGGCCATGCAAGATCCACAAGTCCCCCATCCGACCACACCACTAATTTACACATCTCAATCACAATAGATGGACCAAACACTTCACTCGTGGTTGGAGATGGGCCTCCAGGGCTATGCCTTGATGTTCACTCTAGAACTCAACAACCAAGGGTATGTTCTCCTCGTTCAAAATCTGACACATCTAGCCGAGATAGTAACAGAGGGGATGAGGTTAGGCATGAAAGCATATGCTCAGACTCAGTGGTACACAACACAGACACCCCCTACTACTAGAGCACCAAGCCTCCACTTCACACACAACACAGTGGACTTACCCAATGAACCTTCCGACCCTTCATTTGAATCCCACCATGAACCTTCTCCCTTTCTATCCTCCACATCACTGGGGGCAAATCTATGCCCCTTGGTTTCAACCCCCTCTCTCCCTGCTCCACACCCAGCAGCCCATACGACCCACTGACCCCACAAGACAACCCTCCACATACACCCTCACCCTCTCCAAATGCACTAGACACAAAAACAAGGCAGGAACTAGCGGAGATTCTAGCAGAGATGAGGGAAACAAGAATGGAGTTTTTATGGTTAAAGGGTATCTAGCTCTACAACCTCAAGGAGCAGTACGAAAAAAAGTTTATACTCTAATGCCCGCTAGACCTAGCCACATGCAGCCTAAATTTTTGTGTGACAATAAACCGCAAAGCGGGAAAATATTCCATGGTCATAATTCCAACGCTTCGCCCGACACCTCCACTAATGGATCAGGATCAGACAGCAACACATGTTGTCCATCCTCCGATCCCAGGCCCAGTTGCTCAAGTCAACCCCTCTAATCACAATATGAATTTCCTAATGTAGAACTAAGGGGTTCTCATAATGTAGAATTTAGGCGTCACTTCCGGTCTTTGCTAGACAATCATAGGCCAGTGTTAGCTATCCTCCTAGAGACCCACATGCAAGATCACACAAGGCTTCGCGACGATTTCCACTTCACTAACATGTCATAGGTGTCTGCTAATGGACTCATAGCTGGTTTGGTTGTGTTGTGGAATGAAGCTTTAATTAATGTGGAGGAGCTAATGATATCTGAACAGGAAATACATTGCCTTGTTCAGGTATGTCCCACTACACCTAAATGTCTATTATCTGCAATTTATGCTATTAATTCTTATCAACTCCGTAATACACTTTGGAATAGTTTAATGCATTTAATTGACATTGTTCATCGTCCTTGATTAATAAGGGAGGATCAATGAACTACTATGCTCCCGCAAAAAAATTGGTGGGGGACCTATTAGTAACAATAGAGCAGACAACTTTGCACATTGTCTTAACTATTGTAATTTAATTGACTTAGGATTTCGGGGTAGTCGCTTTACATGGACTAATAAGCGCATACATAGGCACACCATTTTAGAACGACTTGATCATTTTTTAGAAAACTATGATTGGTCAACAATTTACCCGAAGGGAACAGTGCAACACTTGCCTCGAACATATTCCGATCATTGCCCTCTTCACTCACATTAGAATCTAGGCGCCCTTTTACCAGGAAGATTTTCCGATTTGAAACTATGTGGGCCTCACACCCAGAGTTTCACAAATTAGTTCATCAAGTCTGGGCTAATAACTCAACTCTCATTGACACCACAAAACTCTTTAAAGAGGTAGTCATTTAGTGGAATAATCACACTTTTGATAATATCTTCCGATGCAAACATAAGATATTAGATAGACTCATAGGGATCCAATCATCGGTCCATTACCCTACAAATACATTCCTTCAGAACCTAGAGAATCAATTAACTAATGATTATAGTAACATTCTTCGACTAGAAGAAGACTTTTGGAAATTAAAATCACGTATAGCTTAGCTCAATGATGGTGAGGCTAACACTAAATTTTTTCATATGCCCACACTTCAAAGACGTAGGAAAAATAGGATATCTACTCTAAAAGACACAGTAGTTAATTGGTGCTTTAACCCGGATGAGATCCAACAACAAATACTAGGTTACTACCAAAATTTATTTACAAAGGAGCACACAAAATCCTATAACTTACACCAAGACTCCAATATCTGCTTACTTAGTAACACTGATTCCCAATCTCTGGATGGGCCTCTCAATGACTATGAAATCACTCGCGCTCTCCACAGTTTAAACCCTATAAAGCACCCGGCCCTGATGGCTTACACCCTTTCATTTATCAGAAGTACTGGCAAGAAGTAGGCCCTAAGGTAAAATAGTTTTGTCACCAAATTTTCAAAACTAAGGTGATCCCTCCTGACCTCAATCGTACATACCTTTGCCTCATCCCTAAATTCAGGCATGCGCATACCATTCAGCAATACCGACCAATTAGCTTATGTAACACTATCTACAAGCTTACCACCAAGATTATTGTTAATAGACTTAAGCCTATCATTTCCAAAATAATAGGACCAACACAATCTAGCTTCCAACAGGGCAAGAGAGCGTCGGATAATGCTATAATAGTATAAGAAACTCTTCACACTACTAGAAAATGAAAGGTAAAACTAGTAACATGCTTTTAAAGTTGGATCTTGAAAAAGCTTTTGATCGACCAGAATGGTCCTTTATCCGGAAACCTCTTCTATACTTCAACCTTCCACCATCTATCAGTACTTTAATCATGTCTTGTGTTACTACTACATTCACTTCTATTCTAATAAATGGAATACATACACCCTATTTTAACCCTTCTCGGGGCATCTGTCAGGGAGATCCTCCGTCACCATACCTATTCATAATGTGTATGGAAATACTTTCAC